TCACTTTTAGCAAGCAAGGTTGTATCATCTGCGTATCGCAGGTTGTTAATGAGTCTTCCTCCAATGCTGATGCCACATTTTTCTTCATATAACCCAGGTTCTCAGATTATTTGCTCAGTATAGAGGTTGAATAAGTGTGGTGAAAGAATACAACCTTGTCGCACACCTTTCTTAATTGTAAATCATTGAGTGTTCCCATGTTCTGTTCAAACAACTGCCTCTGGGTCCAGGTACAGATTCCTCATGAGCACAATTAATTGTTCCAGAATACTCATACTTCACAGTGTTGTCCATAGCTTGTCATGATCCACACAATTGAAGCCTTTGCCTAGTCAGTAAAGCATTTGATAGTAGCAACATAACTCTGTGTTGAAGAGCCTTCATAGAGAATCTGTTGTCCTTGATATAAAATTTTCTTCACTGATGTCGCTAACTTTAATATAAACTTTGTAGAACATTCAATTAAGCAGTTGGTAATGCTTTTGTTCCTGCTTTAGGAAAACTTAAAGCATGTTCGTTTTTATTGAAAGATTCAGACAGCCTCTTTGAACATGAATTGGGAGCCCTCAACATGGCGGCCCTGCTACGAAGAGAAGAGCGAGCCAGTCTTCTTAGTAACCTGGGGCCATGTTGTAAAGCACTGTGCTTCAGACGGGATTCTGCAATTCGTAAGCAACTTGTTAAAAATGAAAAGGTACTGTTCTTTTCTGGTAAGAAATGTAAAATGCTTGTTCAGTTAATATGAATACTTTTGTTTTTGTTTGGTTTTCATTTGATTGCTTTAAAGTGAGACTAAGATTTTATCTGTTTTTATGTATTTGGTGTCTAGTCTCTTAGATACGTAAAAGTAAGAACTACTAAGATTTTTATGATACTTGTCATTTCCCATCAGTTGCATTAATGAATAATTTGTTTTGAATAATTAAAATTTGATGCTTAAAATATACAATACTCTGATTCTATGAAACACTTGCTTGTGAAAATCTTCTTTAAGGAAGCATATTGTACATTTATTTAAAGTTAAGATCTGGAGAAGAAAATTTCCAGACATGTGGTGATGGTGTGCTAGTGAATGGGTTCCGACTCATAGTGACCCTGTATAGCATTTCTGAGGCTGTAAATCTTTGCAGGAGCAGAAAGCCTCATCTTTCCTCCACGGAGCTGCTGATGGATATGACTTTGTGGTTAGCAGCACAAGGCCACCAAGGCTCCTAGTTGTGGCTATTTTTAAATGCCGTCAAGTTGATTCCAACTCCTTGCAGGGAGGACATTTAATAAGAATGGTGGTTTTGAGTAGATAGAAGTTGGAAGAGAGGCCAATAAATGAATCGTAGTAATGCAAGCATTTACTTTAGAAGAATAAAGGGAATTGAAAAGTAAGAGAAATCGAACTTTATCTAGACTTGAAAGAGATCTGATAATAAGGAATTGAAAACAACTTAAGCTTTTTATCATTAATATGGGATCAAGGAGAGTCCTGGTGTGGCACTGTAGAATAAGCACTGGACTACTGACCACAAAGTTGGTGGTTCAAGCCC